AAAAGTACCCAAGATCTCAGTAAGGCCCAAAACAGTTTGGGAACAATGATAGAGTGAAAGAATAACTGTAGAGAATAAACATTCTCTCCTATAAATCAATGAAATAAATCAATGATGAATTCAGGAGGAGACTCCTACCAAGTTAGGAATGGAGGAGCCCTGGTGGTACAGTGGTTAAAGAGCTTAGCTATTAACTGAAAGGTCAATGGTTCTAATGCAGCAGCCACCATGGGAGAAAGATGTAGCAGTCTGCTTTCATAAAGATTCACAGTCTTGGAAACCCTATGGAGCAGTTCTACTCTGTCCTATAGGGTTGCTATGAGTTGGACTGACTAATGGCAATGTGTTTGCTTTACTAGTTTAGGACCAGGGGTAGGTGGGGGAGCTCTGGTGGCATAGTGCCTAAGGCATTTGACTGGTAATCAGAAGACTGGCAGTTCAAACCCACCAGCCACTCCTTGGAAGGAAGACTGGGAAATCTACAGAATCAACTCGACTCAACTCAACAGCAGTGAATTTGGTTTTTTAGTGATGGATGGGTAAGGGAGGGTAAACCACTAGTTAGAGGGCAGATGCATGTTAACTCAAGTGAAGGAAAAATAAATAAAATTGGTCCTGGATTACATAATGAAATAAATTAGAATTGAGCTTATCCAAAAAGGAATAGAGTTTAGACAGGAAGAATAAAGAAGAATAGGAATTTTAGGAACAGAGAAAGAGTATGAAACAAAGTTGGATGCCCAAATGAATAAAGTATGTCTGGAGGTAGTGGTTGAAGACCATGAAATACCAAGAGAGATGGTTGGAGAGGTTGGCTAAAATTCTAAAGTAGAAGATAATTTTTATCTTGAGGTAGGAACCAGTAGTATGGCTTTTAAGCAACAGTATTATTGTAGGAAAATTAATCTGGGAGCATACAAGACAAGACCAGAAGTGAGAGGACAACCTTATATTTCAAGGAAGTAAACTTTCATGGTATTTATTATAGAAGTTTTCACATGTTATTTTTAGAAACAAATTTTTAAAATAGCATCATTACCTTCTAGCTTGAGATTTATCCCTCCACATTCTATAATTCCAATGAATTTGCCTTCTATCTGACCATTTTTATAAACAAAAATTGTTGGTAAACAATTATCATGGTAATGTTGAATACAGCTGTTCACAATGGCTTTAACAAATTTAGTTTCTGGAAACTTTCTTGCTAGGAGACTAAGATGTTGGTTCACCAGTAAACACATTGGGATGCTAAAAAGACAAAATAGTAGACATGATAATTTTAAAACACAGGCTATTTATCTCATCCTAATAAAATAACTGAAAATCTCTATGGCAAAAAAAAAAAAAAAAAAATCGTTAGTACCTTTATTATAAAAGTATATTATTATTATCTTCTATCTTTATCTCTAGGAGCTCTCGTAGCATAGTGCCTAAGGCATTTGACTGTTAACCAAAAGGCTGGTGGTTCAAACCCACCAGCCACTCCTTGGAAGGAAGATGGGGCAATATACTTCCATAGTGATACAGCCTTGGAAACCCAAGGAAGGGTCGCTATGAGTCAAATCCGACTCGGTGGCAGTGAGTTTGGTTTTGGTTTGGTATCTTTCTTTATCTCTAGTAATGCTGAACCAGAGTCCTCTGATTTGTATTGGAAACACCATTATAGTCTGAGAATGCAACTTGCTGCAGTGGGAATTTGATGCCTAACGAATTCAATCAATTCCCAGTCTTTATAGTACACATAGGAAAAAACAAAACAAAACAGGAAACTTCTAGGGAGTCCTTGGCAGTTCCAAGTTGAGACAAGGGATCACAAATCTTGTCACCATCATGGTCTGATGTCCACGTAGTCCCAAAGTTCCTTGACTTTCCTGACTCCAATAAACTATACCCATGTTTTTAATATCCCACTCACATGCCACACTTTGGTCCCCACTATCCAGAGCTATTCCTCTTCAAAAATTTAAAATTGACTGAAAGTGCGACCAAACCTCAATCTTTTTTTGCTCTATTACTTAACTCCCATTACATCCATTCTTCAACTGAAAGTACTCTAGTCCCTTTTTACCCAGTCTACCACTCACAGCTTTCTCAAACTGTTTCTAGGCTAATCCCTTCACCTCTAATGTACTCTCATTCTTTCCATTTCCTATGGGACTTTCTCTGTTGGTTATTCTGCTTCTCTCTTTGCTATTTTCTCAATCTTTTCTTCTCCAAAGTTTCCTTTCTCCATCTTATATAACATTTTCAAATTACTCAGTCTTTAAAATGTTCCCTTATAACTCTGTGTATCCTTCTAACACCAACCCTCTCTTTTTTTATTCATAGCCCAGATTACAAAAATAATAATAAAAGTTGCTATGTCTGTTAGCAAATTGAAATCACTTATTGATGAAGATTAAAGACAGTCTTCAGTATGGGTTACACCTTAACATAAAAGGAAAATCCTTACAACTGGACCAATAAGCAACATCATGATAAATGGAGAAAAGATTGAAATTGTCAAGGATTTCATTTCACTTGGATCCACAATCAACACCCATGGAAGCAGCAGTCAAGAAAGCAAATGATGTATTGCCCTGGGCAAATCTGCTGCAAAAGACCTCTTTAAAGTGTTTAAGAGCAAAGATATCATTTTGAAGACTAACATGTGCCTAACCCAAGCCATGGTGTTTTCAATCATCTCATATGCATGTGAGAGCTGGACAATGAACAAGAAGGACTGCAGAAGAATCGATGCATTTGAATTGTGGTGTTGACAAAGAATACAGAATCTTCCAAGGACTGCTAGAAAAACAAATAAATTTGTCTTGGGTGGGTGTTGCTAATTGAGTGGGTTGTAGCAGAAGAGCACCTGGTCTTGGGGATCAAAAAAAAAGGCAAGGGAAGAGGAAGAAAATAAAGTACAGGGGAGCAGTGATGAGAAGAACTAAGCAGAGAGAGAAAGAAAAAGCAGCACAGCACTGGCAGTGGGGGAAGTTTGACCGCCCTCGGGTGGGTGAGGGTGAGGGTGTCTGTGCCTCTGGTCACCAGGAAGTTGTTCTAGGTAAATGGAGGTTTAACCTCTCTGGTTGCCTGAGCTGGTTATCTAGTTCAGGCTCCAATCAGAACACCGCTTGCAATATTTCAAAATGGCTGCACTGTGCTGGTTGGCAGTTTACTGCTCCTTGTTCACTTTTTTCATTCAGTCTCTTCCTCTTACTGTGTTTTTTTTTTTTTTTTTTTTTTTTTTTTTTTTTTTTTTTTTTTTTTTTTTTTTTTTTTTTTTTTTTGATCTACTTTATCCTTTCCTATGAAGCTCTAGGTTCAAGGATTGTTATCCATAACTGTTTCCCTAGCCTTGTTATAGAAGTCTGCCTAGTCTGCTATACTGGATCCTCCTCCCAAATCTATCCTTGAGATGGTCTCAAATTCAGGTGGATATACTCAAGGTCATATCAACTCCCATGGGTGCAGCAATGAAGAAATCAAATAACATACTGCATTGCTGCAAAAGACTTCTTTAAAGTGTTAGAGATTAAAGATGTCACTTACTAACTTATGTGTGCCTGACCCAAACCATCATCTCATATGTATGCCAAAGTTAGACAATAAATAAGGAAGACAGAAGAAGAATTGGTGCCTTTGCTATGTTGTTTTGGCAAAAAAATATTGAATCTACCATGGACTGCCAGAAGAGTAAACAAATCTTTGTGGAGGATGTCTAGCTAGAATGCTTTTTAGAAGCAAGAATGACAAGACTTTGTTTCACATACTTTGGACATGTTCTCAGGAGGGACCATTCCCTGGAGAAGGACATCATGCTTGGTAAAATAGAGAGTCAGAGAAAAAGAAAAAGACCCTCAGTGAGATGCATTGGCACAGTGGTTGTAAGAGTGGGCTCAAACATAGCAACAATTGGATGGTGCAGGACTGGGAAGTGTTTCATTCTGTTGTACATAGGATCACTGTGAGTCAGAACCAGCTCGACAGAACCTAACAGCAATGACATACGCAAGTTTGTGCTATGGCTCTTGTGAACTTGTTTTAATTTTCTACAGCTTCATTTTGAACTTGCATATAAGCAACGGTCTGTTGCACTGTCAACTCCTTACCTTTTTCTGACTGATAATATTGAGCTTCTCCAGCATCTCTTTCCACAGATGTAGTCAATTTGATTTCTGTGTATTCCATCTAGTGATGTCTATATGTATATTTACCATTTAGGTTGTTGAAAAAAGGTATTTGCAATGAGTCACTGGTCTTGAGAAATCCTATCATGCAATATCCAGCTTCGTTTCTAACACCAATGTCATATTTTCCAACTACCAATCATTCTTTGCTTCCAATTTTTGCTTTCCAATCATCAGTGATTATCAATGCATTTTAGATGCCTATTTGATCAATTTAAGACTGCACATGTTGGTAGAAATCTTCAATTTCTTCATCTTTGGCATTAGTGGTTGATTCGTAAATTTGAATAATAGTTGTATTAATTAGTCTTCCTTGTAGTTATATGGATATTATCCTATCACTGACATAATTTACTTCAGGATAAATTTTGAAATGCTCTTTTGACAATGAATGTGACACCATTCCTCTTTAATTTGTTATTCCCCACATAGTAGACCATACAATTTTCTAATAGAAAATGGCCAAACCCAGGCCATTTCAGCTCACTAATGCCTAGGACATAAATCTTTAAGCATTCCAGTTCACTTTTGATAACTTCAAATATTCCTAGATTCATACTTCATACATTCCATGTTCTGATTATTGATGGATATTTGCAATTGTTTCTTCTCATTTTGAGTTGTACCATATCAGCAAATGAACATCCCCAAATCTTCCTCCATCCATGTTGTTATGGTCAGCTCTTTACGGAGGCACTTCTTCCCCAGTCTTATTTTTGAGTGCCTTCCAGCCCAAGGGGCTCATCTTCCAGCATTCTTTCAATGTTCTGCTGCTGTTCATAAGGTTTTCACTGGCCAGTTTTTCTAGAAGTAGATCACCAGGTCCTTCTTCCTAGTCTGTCTTTGTCTGGAAGCTCTGTTGAAACCTGTCCAATATAGATGACCCTACTAGTATTTAAAACACTGGTGGCATAGCTTCCAGCCTCTCAGCAACATACAAGCCACCACAGTATGTATGACAGACTGACAGACAAGTGGTGGCCCATAAATAGTACAACCTAGGAAACCCTATGGGACAGTTTCATTCTGTCAAATGGGGTCACTATTAGTCATATTAAGTGGTTGAAGGCAACTCAACAGTACCTAACAACAACAATAACAAATCTAGAAACCTGTCTTTTAGGGGGTGGCCCACATGAAGACCAAAACCAGACCTACAGCATCAAGTTAATTCTGACTCATAGTGATTCTGTAGCTACTAAAAAATAATACTAGTAATTCATATACTGCTTAAATATTAGTTGTCCTTACAAAGCAATGATATAATTGACATTTTAAGTTCAAATTTTCCTCAATAGATAAAATGAATCAATTAATATACAATTCCAAGAATTTTTATCATTACTGTCAAATAAGAAATGAGTATGACAGACACTTGTGGGTTAAGTGGGTAGGAAGATATGAATGGCAGAAGTGAGGCAGACATTGGTGGTGACAGTGAAAAGTATGGAATTAAGAGAGTATGGCATTTACTCAGCCATAAAGAGAAATGAAGTCTGGATACATGCCACAGCATGCATGAACCTTGAAAACATTATGCTGAGTGAAATTAGTCACAAAAGGACGAATACTGTATGATCTCACTTAAATGAAATAAGCAAATATATAAAAACCACAGATTATTAGTGGTTGAGGAATGAGGAAGGAGGAAAAGAGGAAGGGGAAATTGAGTTTATGTTAATGGTGATGGAATAATTCAGAAACATATTGGTTGTACACATGAATATTGTTGTTGTTATGTGCCCTCGAGTCGACCCCGACTCATAGTGACCCCTCCTTGGGTTTCCGAGGTGGTATCACTACAGAAGTAGATTGCCCAATCTTCCTTCCAAGGAGTGGCTGGTGGGTATGAACCACCAGCCTTCTGGTTAGCAGTCAAGTGCCTTAGGCACTATGCTACCAGAGCTCCCATACACATGAATAATGTAATCATTATCACTGAATTATATATGTAGAAGTTGTTGAACCGTCAAATATTTTGCTGTGTTGCAGTGCAGGGAGAAAGTGGTTACCTGAAAACAGTTCTGACAACAAGGAGTAGGGGAATAGATGTGGTGTTGGTGTTCAGAGACCCGAATGGTTAACCACAGAGGAACCATAAAATATAAGAGATCTTTGACAAAGGAAATAAGTAAAGGGCCTAATTATGGCATTCAGAGTTCAAAGTAAGGAGTTGGGAATAGGAATAATGTTGCTGTTGTTGTTGTTAGGTGCTGTCAAATCAGCTCCAACCCATAGCAACCCTATGTACAACAGAGTGAAACACTGCCTGGTCCTGTGCCAGCCCCACAATCCTTGCTATACCTGAGCCCATCATTGCAGCCACTGTGTCAATCTATCGCATTGAAGGCTTTTCCCTTTCTTACTGATTCTCCATTTTACCAAGCATGATATCCTTCTCCAGGGAATGGTCCCTCCCTTCTGACAACATGAATCCAAAGAGCATTCTGGCTGCACTTCTTCCAGGACAGATTTTTTTCCTTCTTCTGGCACTGCATGGCACTTTCATTATTCTTCTCCAACACCACAACTCAAAAGCATCAATCATCCTTATTCACTGTCCAGCTTTCACATGCAGATGTAATTAGGGACTTAGTGTCAGTTTTGTTGGGTGATTGAAAATACCATGGCTGGGTTAGGCATACCTTAGTCTTCAAAGAGACATCTTTACTTGTCACCACTTTAAAGAGGTCTTTTGCAACATATGTGTCCAATGAAATATGTTGTCTGATTTCTTGACCGCTGCTTCCATTGGTGTTGATTGTGGAACCAACTAATACGAATCTGTGACAACTTCAATCTTTTCTCCATTTATCGTGATGATGCTTATTGGTCCAGTTGTGAGGATTTTCATTTTCTTTATGTTAAGGTGCAATCCCTACTGCAGACTGTAGTCTTTACTCTTCATCAGTAAGTGCTTCAAGTCATCTTCACTTTCAGCAAGCAGGGTTGTCACCTGCATATCGCAGGTTGTTAAAGACTCTTCCTCCAATCCTGATGTTGCATTCTTCTTCATATAGTCCAGCTTCTTGGATTATTTGTTCAGCATACAGATTGAATAAATATAGTGAATGGATACAACCCTGACACATTCCCTTCCTGATTTTAAACCATGCGGTATCCCCTTGTTCTGTTTGAACCATAGCCTCCTGGTCTATGTACAGGCTCCTCATGAGCACAATGAAGTGTTCTGGAATTCCAATTCTTCTTAATGTTATCCATAATTTGTTATGATCCACACATTCAAATGCTTTTGCATAATAAATAAAACACAAATAATCATCTTTCTGGTATTCTTTGCTTTCAGCCAAGACCCATTTGACATTAGCAATGATGTCCTTTGTTCCATGTCCTCTTCTGAATCCATCTTGCATTTCTGGAAGTTCTCTGTCAATATACTGCTGCAACCATTTTTGAATTATCTTCAGCAAGATTTTACTTGCATGTGATATTAATGATATTGTTTGATAATTCCACATTCTGTGGAATCACCTTTCTTTGGAATGGGTACGGATACGGATCTCTTCCAGTCAGTTGGCCAGGTAGCTGTATGGTAGTGGTAAGTCTACCTTAATCAGCTTTGTAAGGAGTAGCTAGCTATTCCAAAAAAGGCAGCAGAACAGGAGAAAAGCAGACTGTAGATGACAGAGTGGTTCATGAGGATATGTGGAAGCACTTTCTGGGACTCTAGGAAATAACTGGGATGAGGGGGACTTTGCCAAGGATTAAAGAATCTTCCCTAGAAGTAAGAACAGCCTATTTGCAGAGCTCCTATTAACATGATATATTCATGTACAATGCATGGCACCTTGTTTAAAATCACATGAATTGATAAAAGACATTTTGAAGTTAATTGGGAAATATGAGTAAGGACTAGGTATTAGATGTAATTAGGGCCTTAGTGTCAATTTTGTTGGGTGTGAAAATGCTATTTTCATTATGAAAAAGAATATCCTTTTTTTTGGAGATACATATTGCAATATATTGGACTAAAACATACTGTGTATAATTTGCTTTGAAATGGTTCTGCAAATATATACAAACATAAATAAATATGGCAAAATATTAATTGTTAAATCTAGGTGGTAGGTACTTGGGGGTTCTCATTTTATCCTTCTTTCTACTTTTCTGTCTATTTCAAACTTTCCATAATAAAAAGGATTTTATTAATGGCCAAAGAGTGTTTATTTTTCTAAGAAGTGTGGCATATTCTTTAAATTAGAAATGAAAATAATTTTAAATACCTAATTTAATTCCTAAGGAGCTCTGGTAGAGTAGTCCCCAAGGCATTTGACTGCTGAGCAGAAGGCTGGCAGTTCAAACCAACCAGCCACTCCTCAGAAGGAAAACTGGGCAATCTACTTCAGTAAAGATTTACCACCTCGGAAACCCAAAGGGGGTCTCTATGAGTCAGAATCGCCTTGATGGCAGTGAGTTTGTTTTTTTAAAAAAATTTAATTCTTGAAGTCAATGAATGTCAAAAACTCTGAATATGTGTATGTATATATATATATGTTTTCTCATTATATGCTTTATTGTTGTTGTTACATACTGTCAAGTCGGACCCAACTCACAGCGACCCCTCCTTGGGTTTCCGTGGCAGTATCACTATGGAAATAGATTGCCTAACCTTCCTTCTGAGGAGTGGTTGGTAGGTTTGAACCACCAGCCCTCAGGTTAGCAGTCAAGTGCCATAGGCGCTACGTACCAGATTTCCTATATGCTTTATAGAATCTTAAAATCAGAAATACGTATTTTAAAACAGTATATAACATTTTGAGAAAATGCTATTGTAATTACCTTGTTCTGTATAGATGAATTATAACCCAAACATCTTTTTCTGCATTTGTGACTTCTTTCACATACTGATTTCCTGAAATTTCTCTTAATTCCCCAAATTTTTGTTTTTTCTTAAGGGCTTTCCATTCCTGCAACCGCTTTTCTCTAATTGAAAAATGAAATTAAATTAAAAGCTGTTATATTCTTTCTTTCTTTTTTTTTTTTTAATTTTTCTTTTTAATCAGTCATCTTTAATCAGCCTAGTTGCTGCAGCATAACATCTCTTACATTCCTTTCAGCCATTACAAGTAACCGCCAAAATAACAATCTAAGAATGAAAAGTTTCACTTCCCAGGCCTCTTCCTTCTTTCTCTTATACAGTCTCATGCTTCCATGAATTTGGAGCCATTGCAATGAATCCTACTCCTGACCTCAACTGCAAAAAGAACATGGAGGTGGGGGTGATTATGAAAGATAATCATCATCAGTAACATCAGCCCAAGGCTGATTTCTATGAGAAAGAAGTCACACATGCTGCCACCTTCCAACCTTTTTTTGTTTTTTAAATTGTGTTTTAGGTGAAAGTTTACAGAGAAAATTCAATTTCCGTACAAGAGTCCATTCTTACTTTGTTTCATGACATTGATTGGAATCTCCATAATGTAAAAGCTCTCATCCCATTTCCCGCCCCCCCCCATGGTAACTTTTTCCCTATGTCTTTCTTTCCTATGCATTCCCGCCCTCTGAGCTGTCTCCCTGTGCAAATACTACCCTTCTGATCTCCCATGGTTGATTGTTCTAAAGAGTGTACCTACCTGATGAAATGTTCACCTTATATGCCTGTCCATGGTTTGGCTGGAAGCCACAGGAATGAGTTCAATTCTAGGCCCAAAGAATGACTAGGGGCCATAGTCTTGGGGATTTTACCCATCTTTATCAGACCAGTAAGCTTGGTCTTTTTTATGGTTTTGAGTTTTGTTCCATCTTTTTCTCCCACGCTATCTAGGATCTCCTACACTGATCCCTGTCCAAGTGGTTGACAGTGGTAGCCAGGTACCATCTTGTTCTTCTGGTCTCAGGATCATATAAACTGAGGTTTGCAATGGTCCACTAATCCCTTGGATGAATTCTTTCCTTGTGTTTTTTGGTATTCCTCATTCTTCTTTGCTCCGGACAAGGAAAGACCAATTTTGTTGCATTTTAGATGGCCTCTTTCTTGCAAGCTTTTAAGACCCTAGTCATTACTTCCCAAAGTAGGATGTAGAACAATGTTTATGTGTAATATTTTATGTCAATTTAAAAGCTGTTATATCTCTATCTCTATCTATCTATCTATCATCTATCTATCTATCTATCTATCTATCTATCTATCTATCTATCTATCTATATCTCTCTATATATATTAAATGGGAACTCTGGTAGCATAGTGCCTAAGCCACTTGACTGCTAACCCGAAGGCTGGCAGTTCAAACCCACCAGCCACTCCTCGGAAGGAAGGTTGGGCAATCTACCTCCGTAGTGATACTGCCTCGGAAACCCAAGGAGGGGTCGCTATGAGTCGGATCCTACTCAATGGCAGTGAGCCTGTTTGTTTGTTTTTTCTTTTTAATAGAGCATTTAAGGAACTCTGGTGGTGTAGGCATATGATTGCTAACCAGAAGGTTGATGGTTCACACCCACCAGTTACTCCGTGGAAGGAAGACTGGGCAATCTACTTCCATAAAGATTTACTGCCTCGGTAATCCAAAGGCGGTCACTATGAGTCAGAATTGACTTGATGGCAGTGAGTGTTGTTTTTGGTATAGAGAGTTTATTCATACATAGGTTAAATACTTGGTAAGGAAGAATATCCATAATAACAGTTGTTAACATTTATTGAGTGCTTACTATGCTGCCAGAGAATGTTTTAATGCATTACATTAACTAATTTAATATTTGCAAAAAAAAAGTTAGTTCTACTACTATGCCTATTTTACATGCTCATAACTACCATGCTAAATTTATCTTCAGTCCAAAGCCTTTGTGAATAAATGAAATTACTTGTTATAAAAATAAATAAGTACTAGAGGAGAGTGATTAAGAATTTAGGCTAAACTGGGTTCAAATGCCAGCTCCACCACTCACTAGCTCTATGACCACAGGCAAGTTATTTAATCTCTCTAAGCTTCTGTTTTCCCCTTCCATAAACAAGGATAACACTAATAGTAAGACCTACATGTGTGGGACTGTTGGTGACTAAATTATATAATACAAGTAAATTTCTTAACAGAGTACCTGATACATAGTGAGCATTCAATAAATGTTAGCTATTTATTCTTAGTTATCATTCATCCATTGTTGTTAGCTGCCATCAACTTGGCCTCTGACTCATGTTGTTGTTGTTATGTACCGTGGAGTTGGACCTGACTCATAG